ATGTCATGCATATCACTAGAAAGACTAGCTGTTTCACTACTTTTCTACCCCGCTACTTGTGTAATAGGTCAATTTATACAAGCGAGGTAACCATGTCAACAATCTGCTCTGACATTGTTAGAGTAACGCCCCTTGTTTCGGCCGTTGAGAAGCAGAGTTTTAATTATAATTTTATCTACACCGAGTTAAGTCAAATAAACTTTCCAGTTATCTGCGTTCAGCCTTAAATACAAATAAAGCAGATAAATTATTTGTGTTCATGTTTAAAGACAAATAAATTATTTGTGTTTAGCCATAAAGTCAAACACATATTTATTAAAGTTAAATATTTTGTTTCTGTGTTCTTCCTTAAAGTGTTCTGGCTTCAAGTCATATAAATAATTTGTTTTTAGCCTTAAAGTCAAATAATTTATTTGTGTTCAGTCTTAAAGTCAAGTAAACACTTCTGTTATGTGTGTTCAGGTTTAAGTTAATTAATTTTTTAAGTTTAAAGCCAAATAAACACTTGTGTTATTTGTGTCCAGCTTTAAGTCAAATAATTTATTTGTGTTTAGTCTTAAAGTCAAATAAACACTTCTGTAATGTGTGTCCAGCTCTAAGTCAATTAATATATTTCTGTCCAGCCTTAAAGTCAAGTAAACACTTCTGTTATGTGTGTTCAGGTTTATGTTAATTATTTTTTTTAGGTTTAAAGTCAAATAAACACTTGTGTTATTTGTGTCCAGCCTTAAAGCCAAATAATTTATTTCTGTCCAGCATTAAAGTCAAATTAACACTTGTGTTATGTGTTCAGCATAACTGTGTTGTTTATCATCGATCAAGTACGCACGAACTTAACAACCAGCAGCGTAACTCTGTATCGCTCATCTAACTTCCTCATCCGACCCTCAATTTAACACATACAGATGCACTTCCTGTTGCACTATCGCAAGTCACGCATTAATCTAAACAACCGTCAGCCCATGACAGCACTGTATTCTTATCACATTGAGTTGGCTGAAGTGCTCACCACTGGCCAGCATTGAGTTGGCTGAAGTGCTCACCACTGGCCAGCATTGAGTTGGCTGAAGTGCTCACCACTGGCCAGCATTGAGTTGGCTGAAGTGCTCACCACTGGCCAGCATTGAGTTGGCTGAAGTGCTCACCACTGGCCAGCATTGAGTTGGCTGAAGTGCTCACCACTGACCAGCATTGAGTTGAAGTGCTCACCACTGGCCAGCATTGAGTTGGCTGAAGTGCTCACCACTGGCCAGCATTGAGTTGGCTGAAGTGCTCACCACTGGCCAGCATTGAGTTGGCTGAAGTGCTCACCACTGGCCAGCATTGAGTTGGCTGAAGTGCTCACCACTGGCCAGCATTGAGTTCCCTGAAGTGCTCACCACTGGCCAGCATTGAGTTCCCTGAAGTGCTCACCACTGGCCAGCATTGAGTTGGCTGAAGTGCTCACCACTGGCCAGCATTGAGTTGGCTGAAGTGCTCACCACTGGCCAGCATTGAGTTGGCTGAAGTGCACACCACTGGCCAGCATTGAGTAGGCTTAAGTGCTCACCACTGGCCAGCATTGAGTAGGCTTAAGTGCTCACCACTGGCCAGCATTGAGTTGGCTGAAGTGCTCACCACTGGCCAGCATTGAGTTGGCTGAAGTGCTCACCACTGGCCAGCATTGAGTTCCCTGAAGTGCTCACCACTGGCCAGCATTGAGTTGGCTGAAGTGCTCACCACTGGCCAGCATTGAGTTGGCTGAAGTGCTCACCACTGGCCAGCATTGAGTTGGCTGAAGTGCTCACCACTGGCCAGCATTGAGTTGGCTGAAGTGCTCACCACTGGCCAGCATTGAGTTCCCTGAAGTGCTCACCACTGGCCAGCATTGAGTTGGCTGAAGTGCTCACCACTGGCCAGCATTGAGTTGGCTGAAGTGCACACCACTGGCCAGCATTGAGTAGGCTTAAGTGCTCACCACTGGCCAGCATTGAGTTGGCTGAAGTGCTCACCACTGGCCAGCATTGAGTTGGCTGAAGTGCTCACCACTGGCCAGCATTGAGTTCCCTGAAGTACTCACCACTGGCCAGCATTGAGTTGGCTGAAGTGCTCACCACTGGCCGGCATTGAGTTCCCTGAAGTACTCACCACTGGCCAGCATTGAGTTCCCTGAAGTACTCACCACTGGCCAGCATTGAGTTGGCTGAAGTGCTCACCACTGGCCGGCATTGAGTTCCCTGAAGTACTCACCACTGGCCAGCATTGAGTTGGCTGAAGTGCTCACCACTGGCCAGCATTGAGTTGGCTAAAGTGCTCACCACTGGCCAGCATTGAGTTGGCTGAAGTGCTCACCACTGGCCAGCATTGAGTTGGCTGAAGTGCTCACCACTGGCCAGCATTGAGTTGGCTAAAGTGCTCACCACTGGCCAGCATTGAGTTGGCTGAAGTGCTCACCACTGGCCAGCATTGAGTTGGCTGAAGTGCTCACCACTGGCCAGCATTGAGTTGGCTAAAGTGCTCACCACTGGCCAGCATTGAGTTGGCTGAAGTGCTCACCACTGGCCAGCATTGAGTTGGCTGAAGTGCTCACCACTGGCCAGCATTGAGTTGGCTGAAGTGCTCACCACTGGCCAGCATTGAGTTGGCTAAAGTGCTCACCACTGGCCAGCATTGAGTTGGCTGAAGTGCTCACCACTGGCCAGCATTGAGTTGGCTGAAGTGCTCACCACTGGCCAGCATTGAGTTGGCTGAAGTGCTCACCACTGGCCAGCATTGAGTTGGCTGAAGTGCTCACCACTGGCCAGCATTGAGTTGGCTGAAGTGCTCACCACTGGCCAGCATTGAGTTCCCTGAAGTACTCACCACTGGCCAGCATTGAGTTCCCTGAAGTGCTCACCACTGTCCAGCATTGAGTTGGCTAAAGTGCTCACCACTGGCCAGCATTGAGTTGGCTGAAGTGCTCACCACTGGCCGGCATTGAGTTGGCTGAAGTGCTCACCACTGACCAGATCAATAGAATAGCTACGTCTTCGACAAATTATAATAACTCAGTAGCTAAGGTTTTGTCAAAAAGTAATTATATTAATTCACATCACTACTAGTTTTATAGCTTCATGAGAATCTTTAATACACCCTCTTCTTCTTTATTGTTCTGAATTTTAGTGTTGGAAGGGATCCCCCTCCCCAACACAATGAGTATACTTCTCAACTGGTTATGTGCCAATGAGGCCATTGACTCCAATTTCAGCTTACTTTTCTTTTTGGATTAGCTTCTATAGCCTTTTTCCAACCAAGAACAAACTACAACGCAGCAGTTTATTTTTATTTTGGAGTTGTCTCTCCCAAAAGAGTGGCTTTCACCAGCTAACGAGCCTCATCTGCCCGAGGGTTCGAACTCGACCACGACTACCCCTAAACACACCCTAAAAACGATACGGATAGCATTGTACTTTTCGATCTAGTTGTGTCTAAAGCAGATAAGAAATAGACTCGGTTCTTATTTCAGCTACATAAGAATGTCAGAGTTAAATTCAACGACATGTAAGCTGGGTGGACACATGAGCGTCATATATACAAGAGACTGACTAAGCTTAAGACTTTTGTCTTTTCTTAGTAATCGTGAGCTTGAGATAACGAGTGTGGAGAATAACAAATTTAAGAATATATTGCAAATTTTCTTAACAAATATTTGTGTGCTAAAAAAAGTCTGGTTTGGTACTAAACAAAGCTTGACTCTGTACTAAACATTACATGTATGTGAATTAAACTTCATCTTCGTTCTTAATTTTTAGTGTTGGAAGGGATCGAGCCTTATCTGAGTCAGGGTTTGAACCCGACACGTTTTCCCGAATTTATCATTACAATTAAGGATACATGTCAACTGTTATGCCCATTGAGGCCATTGACTCCAATTTCAGCCTGCTTTTCTATTTGGATTTGCTTCCATAGCCTTTGTCCAAGCGAGAACAAACTACAAGGCAGCAGTTGTTTAATTTTTGAGTTCGAACTCGAGACTTTACGGTTTAGCAACCATGAGGTTTTCCGACTCGACCACTTGATATTGAGCTAATCAAAACTTTATTTTATAATACAAAATATTTTGATCCTGTCCTAAACTAAATCTGATTCTGTAGTATCATATGTTGATTGCGCACTAATTAAACTTAATTTAGCAATGAACAAATCTTAATTCATTGTTCAACTAAATATGATTGTGCAATATCAAATTTTGGTTGTTCCCTTATCAAAACTTGATAGTATAGTTAATAAAACTTCATTTGGAACAATACATTACAATTCATTTTTCGCTTTTCATAAAACTTATTTATAATACAATTGTTCAATATATAAATCATAAACATGAAAAAAAACCTTAATACGACACACTAATAATATTTGCATAAATATAATTTTTACTAAATTATCCATAAAAAAAATCCATTCCTTCACTTCTGCTCATTAGGCGTGGCCGTAAAGCAAGAAGACTAGCAGGAAGTTTATCATAAAGAAAAGTTATCTGTACAGGCAACACACGGCCACTCGATAAACGTCAGTCATAATCACGTGCTACAAGATGTCCGGTGTATGGCAAAGTCGCTCATGCGCGTGCTATATACGGTTTATATCATCAGTCATATAGATGTGGTGACATTGTTACAACAGTGTGTAATTTCTTCAACACAGCCTTTTGATATCAGATGTAAAATCGTGAAATTAGTTTCTAGTGTTTAAGCGAAATAATGAGATTTCACATCTTCCTTCAATTATTGATCATAATCTATAAACAGTGTACGTATTGCATTAAAATGAATAATATAGTTTTTAAAATATATAAATATGTCATATATATATACATATATATATATATATATATATATATATATATATATATATATATATATATATATATATATATATAAACAGAGAGATGTGTGAATAGAAAGAACTTTCCTTTTGCAGCTGGTATAAGATGCTGTGAAGATGGCTGGATCTATCACAGACATTCCGACTCATGTTTTCTGATGGTGGAACAGTTGAAAGTTTTTACTGAATCTGTCGAGCATTGTTCATCTCTCTCGGGCGGAGCGCACTTGGCTCATATAGAGGATCAAGAAACAGATGAATTCATCAAAGGTAATATACTCAAAAATGTGTTCTTTCTCTACAAATGTAAATATGCATATACGAAACACACACACATACACGCACACACACACACACATATATATATATATATATATATATATATATATATATATATATATATATATATATATATATATATATATATATTATTGTGTGTGTGTGTGCGTGTATGTGTGTGTGTTTCGTATATGCATATATATATGTATATATATATATATATATATATATATATATATATATATATATATATATATATATATATATATATATATATATATATATATATATATATATATATATATATATATATATATATATATATATATATATATATATATATATATATGTATATATAATATATGTAAATACAAATGTTTAGTAAATATTAGTAAATACTATACTAGTTACTGTAATCGTTAATTTTACCTATGTGGATGTCATTTTATAAAGTTGATTATAGTGTAGAATCAATATGTACAATCACACAATCAAGATTTACTTAGCACTTAATTAAGTAGAAATTCTCAGGCACCGAATATAATCAGTGGCTATAATAACTCCTCAGAGTCCATGCTGGCCAACGAAAACGCCACCTACCGCATTGGAATTTTTCTCAACAGAAGTAGGGGACTGTATTGGAAAGAGAATAGTCATGTAAGCTGTGGTTAACATTAAACATGACAGTCCCACTTACACCCCCAACCCCCAACAGAACAACCTTTCAGTTCCCATTGATGAGGTACATTTGAATATAGATCTGAAGGTGGATTTAAAGTGGTTGTCCGAATACGTAAATATTTGTGAATGCGTGTAGGCTGAAGCTATTGATACCCTGCATATTCCAAGAATAAGATCAAAACGCTTTCAACATCAAATGTAACACATGAAACAATATCAAACTCAATCATAAACTTTTATTCGTTTCCAAAATCCAATCAAACTTTTTATAAGTGTAAAAATAAAATGATTCTAGAATCTATAGCGATAACTGACAGACACACTACCTAGCCGCTGATATTATATACTAGCTGCATACCAGTGCTACGCCAGGGTGAATCATTTTTTTAAATATACCAACTTGGGTAAAGAAATAAACCAAAAATACTATTTCCTGAAGACCACGTTCAATAATGAACTCGCCCTCGAATGTAACCAATGGCCTAATACAAGGTTGCATGCAATTTAAGTACAATGACTAAACAAAACACCCAATTATTTTTAATCCATCATAATTTTATTTTTAGGAAAACATTAACGGAATGGAAATTTAAATAAACAAAACACCCCATTAATTTTATCAATAATAAAATTTATTTAGAAAAACATTGACAGAGTAAAAATTTAAATGAGTTAATCATGTATGCAGGAAGTTGATTATCTGCCGTGGAAGCAAATCGAGGATGTGACGTACTTCACAAGTACCGTGATCACGAGGGATGGATGGAAACACGTTTCACCGAAGAATACACGTCAATTTATTTGTCAAGCGGAGGCTGGTTCGTATGTTGTCATCCTATTTGTATTGTGATGTCATTATGTGGAAATCACAGTGATGTATGTCACAATTTGACTTGACAGTGATGTCACAAGATTGACTTGACATTGATGTCAGATTCTACTTAACAGTAATGTCACACTCTTATGATAGTGCTGTTACAAAATTGAGGTTACATTAATGTGTCGTTTCTTGATGGGTTACTCTCATATTAGTTCTGTCACGCTACTAACATGCTAGTGTCAGGCAACAAACACTGTAATGACTCGCGTCACTAGCATTGTAGTTCTATCACGCCAATGTCATGCACCCATGCTACTGTCATATCAGTTCTATCACATAATGACTTCTTGTATATCTCATATTCCGTATATGCTCAGACTTGTACTACACTGTTATGTCTGTAGTAATCGTTCTTTATACAAACGTTGAAAAAAAATATTTAGAAAAATTTAAATCTTGAGAGACATGTGACGATTAAGGAAACCTTAAATGTCCCATGTACACGATCGACTAGTAAAATGTCATTACATATCGTCTTTCAGTTTTAATAATATCAAAATTATTCTCTTCATACATAGATTTCTTAAGCTTCAGAGAAAACAACACGTATTACAAATTTTTCCCATTTGGCAAAAATTGGACAAACGCAAATGTAAGAAGTGATATTTCGTAATTTTTTTTAACTTCACGTAAACACACATTACCCTATATTGCATAATGTAGCCATATGGCAACGTACCGTTGTGAACACACACCAATCTTTAATTGTACAGATACACATTATTTATAGTGTTGCATCCCTTTATTATAATCTCCATTACAAAATAAATGCGAACATTTTTTAGTAGAATTAATTTTTTTTCATTGCAAATTATCTTTATAATATTTTTTTTACGTTTGTGTATATTATAAAATAAAACCTGTAACTATTTATAGGAGTACTGTAAGACAACTTTTTACAACGGCAAACTGGCTGAGCCGATTAACAGTAAACAGAGGAAAGCAATTGATGAAATAACCAAAGAAGCTAAACTTATTGGTGAGCAGATTTATATTTTACTGTAGTCTTGTGAAAAAAGAAAATGTAGTTTCATTTTTAGAATCTTTAGTGCACTCTGTAGCTTAGAAATAACTAATATTTTCCAAAACTTATATACCCGAAACAGATTATTGCGGTACAATTTTGTGAAAAGAAATCCGTCTAGTTTTAACTTCCTATATAATTTGGTATTTTAAAATCGCAAATTATGCAAGTATTGTAGGCCTACTTACATAGAGAACCATACAAATAAATGCAATGATGAAAACAATTGTGAAATAATATCTTGGTGTCTCTGCTAAATTAAATGTATCCACGTAAAACAGTTTTTAATGAAAATAAAAGAGATGTAATCCCTACTAAAGTTTATTGAATATACCATTATATAAGAACATAAATATAATTATGTTCGCTGTGATTAGACTACAATACATATTTTGGTAGCCTACATATAAATATGTTCTAATACTATTCATTTCGTCCAGCTTACTTAACCAGTATTCAAGTTATCGATTTTTAAAAAAAAACCTAAAATATATTATATACCAATTTCGTATACTGGAAATAACTAGAACCTAGAAATAAACTTACGAATCTGATCTATACGTTGGATTGCAAATTAAGTCTACCTAAATGGATACTAAAGTTATCGGCTTTTACGGAGAGACTGAAAGACATACATAAAGGATTGGAAAGCTGGGGTTTTCCGACTCAGGAAAATGTAAAATGTGGTCGTTATTTCGATTGCTTTATGTTTTACAATTCCAAAAATCCCCTATTCTCTGTATACGAGAACGTAACTAAAAATATGTATACCATGTGTACAATACTGTGTTGGTTTCCTTAGCTTGGATAGGAGCGAGCGACCTAGTAACTGAAAACGTATTTGTCTGGACAAGTTCCGGTCGGAATCTGTCTACGAAGGACAGCTGGTGGTCCCTGAACAACCCGGACAACTGGCAGAACAGGGAACATTGTGTAGTTGTTAACGTAAGCAGCAAGATTAATGACTGCGATTGTTCTTACCGGTTTCCGTTCATTTGTGAAATAGGTACTCAGTATACGTATATTCATACTCTTTATTTATATAACATTATATATATATATATATATATATATATATATATATATACTAGCTGCATACCCGTGCTTCGCCTTGGTGAATCTTTTAAAAATGTACTACCTTGGGAACAGAACAAAACCAAACAAAAACTCAAACACAGTCGCTACGCAATATGCAAACACAAACGAAAACACAAATGCAAACACAAAAGAAAACACCAACGCAAAAAATGTAAACTCAAAGAAAAACGCAAACACAACGCAAATGCAAACACAAAAGAAAACACTAACACAAACGCAAAAATTAATAAAAACACAATAGAAAACACAAACGCAAACGCAAGCTCAAACAAAAATGCTTACACAAATCAAATACAAATGCAAGTACAAATGTAAACACAAACGCCAATGAAACACGTATACGCAACTACAAACACAAACGTAAACACAAAGGCTAACAAACACAAACGCAGACGGAAACGCTTTATCAAATTACGCTTTCCAGTACTTGAGCTCCCAGAGAGAGAGAGAGAGATAGCGTTTCCTTCTTTCTCTACTTTACTTATCCCTTTAAATAACACACAAAAAAATATGGATTTTAAGAGATCAAAGCAATTTTTAAAATTACAACAACTATACAATTCTGTACCGACTAATCAGAAAAAAAAATATTAACATTAATCCATTATAGATATAAGCCCTAACATAATAGGCCTACTCAATGTGGTATGAATAAAAAATAAGCATTTCTTTATTTGCTATATTTAGCGTGATTTAAATTTGTTTATAAATAAACTCCTTTGGCATGGTTATTAAACATTTACATTGATTAATTTTATTTTACACTATTGTTAATAAAACGAATCCACTTTTTCCAGGAATGTAAGCGCAAATATTATTTGACATTGACCCGCTTGAAATATTTTAGTAATGTGCGTGCATTTAATATTTTCTTCTATTTCTTTTTTGAGGTTAACAAAAAAGTAAAAACCTTGCCGATGATCAAAATATGTGTATTCGTTACTTAAATAGACCATACACCACTCTAATATAGGAAAGCACATGTGCGCACTTTTCTCTCTCTTTCTCTCTCTCTCTATTTTTCTATCTCTCTCTATCTGTCCACAACATTTTTAAGGCTATGTGATCAGTATGTTAAAATATATATGGAAAACTTAAATATTCGGACTGTTGCTGAAAATATTATGTTTGATGTTTTAAATTTATAAACTAAATTTTATTTAAAAAAGCAAAATAAAAATGAAAGCTTATTCGAATGTAGAAACACATTTTAAATTATGCAACCGAAAAAGTGTTTATTGTTGTGACAAGACCGCAAAAAACAATAACGTCACATACGACACTTTCAAACTACGGGAAGTACACAAAACTAATGGCGTCATCTTCCAGTTTTAGAATATAACTCTAAAGATGTACTTATCAAGACTTATGCTATAAAATGTATGCAATTTTCTCGACCAAAAGTTATACAGCTTTCGTTAAAAAACAACATAAATACCATTGAATAGCCGAGTTTCTAACATAATCTTTTGAGTCTCTTAATCACTGTATATTGTGTGGTGTTGTGTTAACTAATAACATATATGATGTGGTTTTTCTAGTAGGTGTTGGTAGCCTATGTTATTTTAAATGTGTCGGATTTTTGCTATTTTATCAATGTAAAATAATATTATCGCATTAGATTTATAGATAAAATTGATACATTTTAATAACAGTAAGGTAAAAGGAAATGATTACTTAAAATGTTTAATAATTTTTCTAGGGTATGAATTTAAAAAAAAAATTCAAACCACGCTATTAAAACAATTGATTTTACGCTTGTATTTGCGTTTTTGTGTTTGCATCGTGTTTGCGTTTGCGTTTCTAATTTTCTTCGTGTTTGTGTTTTCTTTTGTTTTCTTTTGTGTTTAATTTTTTTCTGTTCACTATTTGGTACGTTTATTAAGATTCACCGTGGTGAAGAACGGGTATGCAGCTAGTATGTATACACACACACACACACATATATATATATATATATATATATATATATATATATATATATATATATATATATATATATATATATATATGTGTGTGTGTGTGTGTGTGTGTGTGTGTGTATACTTCTTTTTGTCTTGGGACAATATGGATGCATTATGGAAAATAAGATTCTTGGGCGATTTTATGAAGAGATCATGGCTAGTCAATGCATCGTGTTCCATATTTTGATCTTGCCTGAAAATTCCAAATGTCTTTTACAATTTGTTTTAGCCAAATCGGTTGCAGAAGCTACCAAAATAATATCAAAACTGTTATAATGTGGAATAAATAGGAAAAAAAAACATTTTAAAAGGATCTTCTATTTAGTTTAAAAAAAAATTACAAAATAATATAAATACGTATTACTACTCTTTAGTTATATAATTTCAATACCCAAAATAAATATGAAAATTGTGGTAAAATTGTTTAAAATTATTTTATAGACTAGTATCAATACTGTATTAGCTTCTATTTTATAAGATGCGACCACACTTCTAATGGAAAAAATGTTTGTTTCTAGACGTTTCCCCCACAAACCACACAGACGACCCCTGCTTCCCATACATGGGCCTGCAACAAGTGAACGGCGTTTGCCAAACTAGTTTTGTTTCACCACAATACTGGACAGTGAATGCTGTAAGTATAATCGTTTTTAGTCAGAGAGTAATCGCAAAATATCAGAGTCGATTACACAATAGAGATATACAATTTGATTGAATGTATTCCCATGCATCGCACACGTCATACAATAGATAGCTGCAATACACAAATTAAATACATTGTTTAAAATAGTTTTTTTTTTTCAAAGTATTTATCTGCTCCTTAGAGTTTCACATTATATCTTATGTAACACTTTTGAATACTACTGGGGTATTTTGTGTTTTTACAAGAGTAAGGATAAAAAATACAACATATGACTTGACCTTTTATGGTAATAATTTTAGTTGTCTCACATTAATTAATTAGCATAATTACTTTATTGCTTTAACGAAAATGTGTCATACAAAGTATCTTTACACTCTGATGTATTTCTAGAAAATCTTAGCAATAAAAAGAAATAACTGCATAATATTTAAAATGTAAACTGTTTTTCTCCATCAAATATGAATTTATTTATTTTTTTAAATTTTAATTTGAGTTTTCTAAAAAAACAATTACAAGCAATTATTTTTTTACTAAAAAGTATATGTTGTATTTGAGCAGACTAAATGTGCAGAGAAAAGCCCTACATCCAAACCATTTCAGAATTTAACCAATTAATATATTTTGTATTTGAACAGACTAAATGTGCAGAAAAAAGCCCAATATCCAAATCATTTGAGGATTTGGAAATAAACGAGAAGCTGGTGTTTGGACTGGTGGACAACCAGCTGTACAGTCTGTGTAAGTGGTGGATTTAGCATAAATAAAAAGATGTGGCTAAATTTGTCCACACCACGGGGGGGGGGGGAATTTAAGAATTCCGTGGGGTACACTTATACATTCTATAGGAATTTTACAAAATTTATTTAGAGGAGTGAAGGGTGAGTGGAAGGGAGGAAAAATTGCTCAAGAGTTCGCAATGTTTTATTTTTTTTTCTCATTTTAAATTTAAGCTCAAACGTAATCTAAACATAAAATGCTAAGCTTATTTTTGTATGTAGAGCAATGAATTCACTTTCAATACAGATAGCTGCAAGAATAGTTCTTACCACCAAAAGTCCAACACTTGCCTCAAGTTGTTTCCAAAGAAAACATTCTCAGAGGCAGAAGAGTTTTGTAAGAATAGTTTTTTTGGTCGAACAAAGAGCAGAGGGAGGCTGGTTGAAATCTTGGATCAAGACATGGACGACTTCATCAAGCGTAATTTAGTTTTTTTTTAAATTAATTAAGCGTTAGAATGTTGTAATAGTAAAACATTTTTTGTATTTAGTTACGGTTTTGATTTTTAACTAAACATTTTGAAAACTATATTGTGATTAAAATATATTTTTTTTGCATGATTATTTATAACACATGATGTTACATACTTTAACGTCACAACTACTTACCTATATTACTCGCAGCATTGATTAATAAATAATCAATTACTTTTCATTTACCATTATAATACTGACATTGATACAAAGAAAATCATTACAGTACATGTTCTGAAAACCAACACAGATGCTTTTATCGGGTTGTATCGCAACATGTCCGAGTCGTTTCAATTTGTTGGCTCATTACAGGTTGTAATGTTTTCCTTATTTTAGTTGCATTCACAAATATTAGTTTTTATAATAATGTCAGTATTACAAATATTTTATTTAGGTTATTTTTTTATTATTATTTATAAGTTTTAGTCCGTATTTTATGCTTTAGCAAAATTACAAAACTTGTTTATTTAATGTTTTTATCAAAATTAAAGTTTTAGTTGTTGTATACTTTAAAATATAAGTTAAATATGAAAACAAACATAAACAACATCTGTTTTTAACATATTATATTTGTCGATCTATTTTTAGCATTAGCCTTAGCTGTGACAAGAAATATACAACTTTAGTTTATCAATTGTACATTTAAGTGTTGTGCAACTAAATGAAATAAGTTTTAACATTTTGTACTCAAGACACCGTTGTATTTTGGGTGGAACTCTACAAGAACCGGCTCCAACGAAACGGTTGCCATGACAACAGTCGGATGGACAACACACCATGCTCAAGCCAAGATGAGATTTATTTGTCAGAAAAGTTTTGACAGCAAACAATGTGAGTTTTTATTTCAACATTTTTTGTGTGATGCGTGTGACATAAAAAGATTTATTTTTGGGGTTAACATAAAACATTACTACTAATGTAACGTAAGTGTCTATATAGATTCTATGTTTAAATAAGTGTTAGTACTGTATAGTGAGCATTTTAAATGTGACTATATAACTTGTTTGCCTTAGCTAAAAACAATTTAAATTATTAAAATATATTACTAAATTTTTAAGAAATGTATATACTTTTTAATTCTTATTTAAACACTTTATTCGTTTCTTTAAGAATATTTTAATATAAAACTAACTTTTGGTTAATAATACTTTTATTCAAATAGTACACTTTCACGCTTCATTGATATATCTGATTGTAATCACCATTGGTGTATGTGGCGCACTAATCCTTATCTTTCTGATCGCCGTATTCTGCTACTGCATCAACAGAAAACCAGGTAACAATAACATTATTGTGTGGTAACTTTTAACAATTTACTTTAGCTACCACGGTTTTAAATAAACAGAATTTTTATTTGTAATAATTTAAAAAAAATATTTTTATACTAAACAGTATTTGTTTTTAAATTTTATAGCAGATGATGTGGGTGAAGATAAAATTACAGAAAGTACAAGAAATTCATGGGCATTTATCACTGCGTAAGGACTTCAGCCAGGGAAGATGAGAATGAGAAATAGCTGTAAAACATTAGGCGCTTTTAAAAGCAATACTAGCATTTCGTCGAAATATTCAATTTGTATTCAAAACAAATTACGCACGCAAAGAAACAAATGTTTATATAAATATAGATTGTATTATTTACTGTTTTTCTAGATTATAAGGTTAAGATTTATGTGTATTGCAAATAATCAACAATTACAAACAGATAAGTTCAATTTAAAATACTACAAATATATCATTGGTTGTTTGTCTGGTATTTGCCTGGAATTTTTAGTTGGTTTCTGTGACGAAACAGTCACTATACAAATGATTCTATGCTGCAAAATTTAATCATGATTAAACTTCTTTTTGTTTTCTTATTGGTATATATATATATATATATATATATATATATATATATATATATATATATATATATATATATATATATATATATAACAGTATATGAACATTATGTAACTTTTGTAATGTCGTAAAACACACAAAAAATATCGTTTTTTTTTGTCGTTAAAAAAGATTAACTTATATGAAAATAAATCAAACTATAACTAACATAAATGACAGTTTGAGAGATAATTTAAACAATTTTACTGTCGTTGTTTCATTTTTATAAAAATCGTGTGATCTATATTGGTTGTTTCCAGCCAGGGTTTCTTCGAGGCATCTCTTAAGGAGGGGGGATGTTTTTTGCCCCAATCCACCCCCCGAACGTATGGGGATTTATATAGAGAACAATACTTTTATCAGTGTCCACCCCTCCCACGGCAAATTTAGACCGCCCCCCCTCCCCTACTTCCCGAAAATATCTAGTGACCCTCCGAAAAAAAAGGTCTGGAAGAAACACTGTTTCCAGCTAATGACAATGTGCTTTATATTGAGTTTACTACTCGGAGTAATCTACAGACGTCTAAACATGAATGTTCTGCTAAGTGCCTGGTGTAAATGTGGTGTTCCTTCATCAATCACGGGATGTTGTGGCCTAGCTGAGAGCGCTAGACTGCGGTATAGACAGTATAACATAGTAAGTAGTAAGTAAAGTCCCTTTCAAACATGACCGTATACGGGCAAGTGAAGTAGAGTTCACTATTTTCTGTGACCTCGGCATGTGAAGAGTAGTCAGAACTATACCTTTACCTACCCTAACCTGAGTTAGGTACCCATTAGAGCTGGGTGGACTCAAGGATGTTCTGCTGACTTGAACCAGGATTCGAACTCGAAACTTTCGGGTTAGCCAGTCCAGCTCTGGTGTTATATAACACTGCTATTAATAGGAGTTTGAACTCGGGTTTAAGTCAGTATCTTCCCTTAATCCATAAATAAGCCAAGGTAAAAAAACTGACGAACTCTGCTTCATCTACTCAACGGATCACGGTCTAAAGTGGAATCAAAGCTTTTAAATTGCAAACTATGTTTAATTTATAATGCTTATTGTAATGGTGAGATCTATTAAGTAAGTGCAATAGAAATACTATACACTTAACGTCATCTGCGAACTTGTGTGCTAATTTACTAAACTTGGACGTATTACTCTATTTATTACAATGGTTCTTTTGTGTGCCGTATAAGCTAAAATATGTAGGCTACCGCATGGTCGAATTGTAAAGCGATCGACTATTGACCCGAAAGTATGGAGTTCGGGTCCATGACTAGAGTCGTAGCACCCAACACTGATGGGATAGCCGACTTTCATTAAAGAAAGTAAAGTGCTTACCACACGATATCTTCATAGGCTGACTCCTCTACCTTACCTGGCCACTTGGACCGAAAAGGAAATTTTTATTAAAAATTAAATTGATACAATAAAATGCCCAGTCAAAGAAGTGTTACATTTTATGTTTGTTTACTTTTACACATTCATAGGTATGTTGCTACAATTTACAAACCCGAGACGTCTGCCAATGTATTATGTCAGTTCTACAACATCCAAGTTTGTATACATCTCTATACCACATTACAAACACGTTTTTTCATCACGTACTTCACCAGTCTGCTTGCTCATAATTACATGTAAGGCAATCAAATAAAACGTTCGACGATTACATATAATAGATTTTCAACCGCCACTGTCATAATAATACAAAAACCAGTACAATAACTTTCGCGTTTGACAGGACTAGCCTGATTTAAATTACAATAATCAACTGGTAGTTATTAAATTGAAAAAAAATGAAAACAACAATCATCTCTGGCAACATAAAAATAGTTGTCTTTAAAAAACTCAGCATCATGGATTTATATTTTGGTAGATACAGGAAAAACATGATTTTCTTTAGAATTTGTTAGCAATGTGCTTAATTATGTACAAAGTACCGCCACTATTAAAAACCATAATGTACATTTACATTTTAGTATTTTGCGTCTGAAACTAAATTAAAATAAACGCCGAAAATATATTTTATTTACATAAATATATCGTTTTGTCAAATTGTTCACTTATGTTTTAATATAGATTTAAGTTTAGATTAGTAGTGCTATAAATTGAATTAAATCGTGTAGGTATAGATAAATATCTGTAAACACCTAATGAAAATTATGTTCAAATAGCAGAACGAGCCGGGAAAATCGATCCAATATAAAAATTCCGCGAAAAGGCATCTTACGATTTTGGCACTTAATACGACAATCAATTTTATTTGCGAATTTTCGCTCGCACAAATTTGGCATGCCTAAACTAGAAAAATCATGCAACTTTTTTTTAGTAGACAAATGTAAATTATTTTAACTACAACAAGTTATTTTCTTTTGTTTTATCAGTTTATCAGTCGTAGTCGGCATGTCGTAGTTATACTACAGTAACAGTTTTAAACTGAGAGTACTTTTTTCACAGAAAAACATATAATTGTTGGGAAATGTGTTCTGCAACAAAAACATTACCTAAATTTATAACATCAGGTTCACATAAACGTTCAGACGCTGTAGAGAGACAATCATGTCTGGAATAATGGACTCGTTACTCGCTCCAGCGATTTCAATGCAGGATAACGTAACTCTAGTCAGCTTAGTTATTTGCCTTTGTCGTGGAGTTATCGCCCTTGTAGGAATCATAGGCAACGCAATGACGATAAGGACATTTGTCGCTATGGGTCTTAAAGACGGAGTCACCATATCCTTCTTGTTTCTATCTGTTTGTGATCTATTATTTCTTGTATGCGAATCAGCAGGGTCGATCTCCTGCACTTTTGCCTGTGTTGAAGTGACGAGCGGTTATAAAACCTACTTTCCCGTGGACCCGTACAGTGTAGATTTTTACTTGGAGCTTGCGGGCAGCGAATTCTACCACTGCGCGATGATAACGATCATATTTCTGGCCGTCGTTCGCTGTCTCAGCGTGGCCACCCCCTTGTGGTTTCGGCAAAAGCTGGCCACTAAAAAAGTCTCACTCGTTGTCATGACAACGACGGCAACATTCATCTTCTTCGTTGAAGTTCCTATTTTCGCCTTCATGGGTATAATTCCACAACCTGATATAAAAACGAACACAACCAGAGCTTTATTTTGGACATCACCTACATGGCATTTGGTGACAGATGTCATTTGGACGATGACAGGGCTTCTTTTAACAAACTTTGTCCAACTCGTTTTGCTCATCTCCGCCATTTCTATGAAAATTGTTCTCACAAAAGCACTCAAATTTCGACGACGACACACCAGTGAAGTTTTAGCGTCTTCACTTAAAAACACAAACCTTAGAAACAAACAAAATAGTCCATCTCAACAACCGAGAAAATTTAAATTAAGCAGCAAAGAGATCAGAATTACCCAGCAGCTTTTTGTTCTCTGTCTAGCCTACATTGTTTGCAACACGCCAAGGGTGTGTCTCCATCCACCGCTGCTACTATTCCCAGAGTTATCGCTATTCGGAAAGTATGGACGATTATACGAGGCCCTCGATGTACTAGTACACATGTGCCAGTGTATATTTTGTTGCGGAAATGTTTTAATTTACCTCAAATACAACTCCAAATTCCGTGATTTGTTTAGTAAACACGTGCAGAAGATACAATAATCATTGCATATGTCTGTTATTGCAAAGGTGAAAAGTATTCTGAATCCAGCTCTATTAGATTTTATATAATTGTGTTAATCTTTAACCTTTTTAAAACATTTTTGCGCCTTTACATGCAAAAGCAAATTAAAACTATAAAAAAATAAAAAATAATAAACATAACAAGTTCTTTTACATAATTAACTATTTTAGAGCGCATCATGTATATGTAACATACTAAATGTTATGCAAATTTTGTCATTTTTAACCAAGAAAAAACAAGTTCCCTTTTCGAACCTGACGGTTCATGTATCGAATAAAGTTCACCTATTTTGTGACCGCGGCATATGAAGAGATAGTGTGGTCAGCACAACGCCCATCCGCATTTTCTTTCCTTAACGTAAGTTAGGTGCCTATCAGAGGTGGTGGAATCTTTTGTTGCAAAAATTTAATTGTGTTGAAAATGGAATTCAAAAGGACGTAAAAAAGTTTGAGAATATGTACATCCATTTTATTTTATAAAGAACACTACATTGTTACGTTACATTTACAGAAAATACAGTAACATTGGTAAAGTTCCCTTTTCAAACTTGACGGTCAATGCGGCAAGTAAAGTAGAGTTCACCTATTTCTGTGATCTCGGCATATGAAAGTACAACATTATGCCTAGCCTTAACTTTCCATAAATGAGTTGGGTATTCATCAGAGCTGAGTGAACGCAGGGACGTTCTGCTGATATCAACCTGGATTCAAACTCATGACTTTCTGATAAGCAGTATAGCACTCTACCGCTAGGCTACACCGCCACACTCAATAAACTTTATCCTACTATATTTTTGTACAACACGAATTAAAATGTTACGCTGAAAAGAAAAAAAAAATATATATAGTTCCTATAACTGGTGCATTTATCTCGCATCAACAAGAATGATAAAAAAAATCATTTACTAAGAAAATTAATGGAAAAACTGTGTGGGGTTCAAGTTTCCTAAATAATGTTTTTAATGGAATCTTCATACAACTTGTTGTGGTGTTCATCCTGAAAAATAAACCAAAATAATATATTCCTCTAAAACAAAAAAGTTGTTACTAATAAATGTATGTAAAATGTTTTTGTAATATAAGAACATTATAATAAGTATAATTTGAAAATATCGAACTTTTTGCTACAAAAACTATAATTAATGTTTAATGTAAAATGAGTAGTAATAATAAAACATTAACACACGGTAACAAAATATAACAATGTTAATTATTTTACTGTAACATTAAAATAGAAGAAATACTAACAGAATAAAAGTATTTAAAATAAAATACAGATATTGATCAATAACTATATGAAGAACTAACATATAACATGAACTATAACCAAACGTTAAATAGAAAGAGATGAAATCTGATTAAAGCAACATTGAAAGAAACTAATCAATAAAATATTTTTATACATATATAATTTTACAGAAAAACAATCACAATGCCCATTACAGAATCACACCATTGTACAATTACACTTAATATACAATCACGATTACCAGTAGGCCTATACTATAACACTTACCATAGGAAAAATTGGTGTCGGATATGCTGAACCACCTTCACGCAGTTTTTTCAGATAATTGAAAGGATTCTGGTTCTAAAATAAGATTTTTAATTTGTAAAAAGAAAACGTAAAGTTTTTGTAAATAAATGTATTGATTATTTATACGATTTTGAATGATTACGGATTATTTAATAGAAAAAAAAACTTCATTACCCTTTTTAAAGTGACATGATTTGTACATTTTTCTATTGCAAAAAATTTGGCGTATTTTGTTTTAGCCAAGATACTAGCAAAATACCCATCTATCTTTGTTGGAACATCTTTCTGTAAAATAAAAAAAAAATAATTGTTGAATGTATTTAATTTTTTTTAGAACTAATATCTCATAAATGAAATGTATTTTCTTTATGAGTTGTGATATTTTTAGAAATGATAGTATCATTGTAATATATTTTTTATAATATTTAGTTTATTTGACAGTTACAGAAGAAATGATAATTTATAAACCTTGAACGTCAGATCAACATCCCATTTGAAAAAGTCCTCGTTGTTCTCGTATTTACCATTGTAGGTCACAACACAATGGCGGCTTGACCAGTAGTTTTAGGCACCAATTTAACAAGTCTATACACGGCACACACATAGTTAACTCCTCCTGTATATATTAATAATGGCATGCATACATTTATATTCAAATGTCTCCCAGCCTTTTGTCAATCAAAAAAAAAAAATAATAATAAAATGCAATCAACTATACATCCTTCTGTATCATTAGTACATAAGTCAGTAAATTTCCTCTTTAGACTTAATGATCCATTGAGGGAAAATAAGCTCTTATCCTTATGTACCATTAGTAAAGTAGCGAGTAAAGTTACTCTTTTGACCTATTGATACATTGAGCAGTTGAAGTAGAGTTCATATGTTTTTTTACCTCGGCTCATGAAGGGATGGTATTGCCAGCACTATGCATAGCCACATTCACTATCCACAATGTAAATCAGGTTCCCATCGGAGCTGGGTGGACTCAGGTTGTTAATTCTATGAGACTATATGCTATCCTCTGGGTCTTCCATAAACGACGTCACATTCCTAGGGGTCGGAATGTCGTGACGATGTGTCACGAGAGAGAGGCGACACACTTTTAAAATGTAATTTTCTAAACTGACTTCTAGACGTTATTATGCAGTTTAAAGAAAACTGTGTTTGAACACTGTTCTAGAAAATTAATGAATATACTGGATGCTAACTGAGCTCAGAATTTTTTTTATAAAAAAGTCGAAGTTATAAAAAACAAAAAAACAAAATAAGAACAGTAATTGTGTTTGTGTGTGGGGGAGGGGGGGAGGGGCTAGGCTTAAGTTTGACGTGATTTTAGGAATGGCGGGGTCTGCTTTTTTGTGACGATATTAAGAGGATGATGGGTATAAAATCGTCAAAAAAATAGAAGTCGTTTATTAAAGACCAATGTAGGTCATCGTTTCGTATTGCAGAAAATGTTCTAAAACTAGTCAAAGTAAACAGATGGGCGTCACCCACTTAGATCCCGCTTGTTTTTCTCGGTGCCAAATTGGAAGGTGTCAGCGGCGTACAACAGGTAAGGGTCTGAGAACCCATACTGGCCTGTCAACTCTTTCAGCTCAGACCACACCATGGCACCACTGAGTCCATAGCCTGAGATAGGAACAGGTTGATAAGGAGATTAGGATGGGTAATAAGAATAAGATGAGTGGGTTTACTACCCGGCGCCCGGGGACAAGCTTTCAATTTCGCTTCCCCCCCCCCATATATATATATATATATATATATATTTATATTTATAATGCAAAACTGCAGCTAAAATGAGCTTTTAATTTTTTTTTCCAACCTATTTTGGCGTCCCCTAGGGTTGGCGCCCGGGGACATATGTACCCCCTCGCTACGCCTCTGGTTTACAATGAGTTTAGCGTGAACGGGATTATAATGAAATTATGATGGGATGAGTTATAATGATATTTAGATAAGCGGTTTCATAATGCGATAATATCTGCCGGAGTATAATGTGATTATAATAAATGGTTTATAATGAGAATAAATGTTACGAGTCTATAATGAGATTTCGATGTGTGGGATTAAAATGAATTGTAATTAACTGAGACAATAAAAAACATATGAAAGGGGAAAAAAGGGAAATGCAATGATTACTATGTAGGTAGAATGCATTCAGTAGAAAAAAAAACATACACATTAATATTGCAAAGTCCTATCCTCTCCTGTGCCCATACCTTTACATTTTCAAAATAGTTGCATTGAGTTAGTTTTTAAAACTCAACTACTATTTACTTACAACAAAAAAGTGGAGTCGCTTTGATCTCTTCACATTGTTCAACATCCGAGAAGATATCACTGTTGTAGAATTCTCCACCTTCCTATTGCAACAGTTTTACTCATTGTATATTACGATAACATGGCTGATAAAAATGTTCGTATTAGAATAGTTATTAGAAGACTACTATAAATTTTATAATAAAAACATATTCTTTAATAAAGTAAAAATGGTTGTTAAATGTACCTTTAACAAACGGGATAAAACTTGAATTACTTTTTCCTTGTTTTTAACTAAACACATTAGCCCGTTAGAACTGTAGATGAAATTATATATACATACATACATATATATATATACATACATATATATATATATATATATATATATATATATATATATATATATATATATATATATATATATGTCATAGGTTAGACTCCGCCTCCCCTTCGACACACACGTCAAAACAGTCCATGCCACCTAATGAAGCTTCAGGTTAATTAACGACCCATACAAATACGTGTCTTTGTATAACAATATTAATATTTAAGCAATATTTACTTACACGATCACATCAAAGGGCTCAAGTTGAAGGTCGAGTAACCTCTTAACATCCGAGCATATAAATTCACAGTTGGGTTTACTGTAGCCCCATTCTTTCATGTGGTAGGCTGTCTCTTCTTGGCACAGTTGTATCTGTACGTTGATGGCATAATGTGTACTCCGTTTATGTGTGCGTTAGTGTCTACATGCGTGTACGTGTGAACGCGCGTGTGTGTTCATGTGTGTGTTCGTGAGTGTGGGTGTACTTAAGCTATATTATTGAACACATATTTACGAATTTTTCAGAAAGATCGACTCCAACAACGTATCCAGCTGGACCAACGAGCTTGGACAAAACAAAAGACAGACTTCCACCTCCACAGCCAATGTCCAGCACACGGGCGCCCTCGATGGCATCGGGGATGAAAATAGCTGAACCGTCATATCTGGAGATTATATTTAAAAATACATAAATCTTTGTTATGAACATTTAATGTTGAATTATTAAGGTATTATGTATCACGGTGTTTAAGCTTTTGGCATGAAGAATTATTTAACAATCGTCAGACCATGCCCACTCGTAGAATCAAGAAATCATCATCTATAAGAGAGAAGCAAAGGGCAGCAACCTCTCCATTCAACTTTGCGAAAGAACTTAATTTTTGTAAAAAAATAGAAAAAAAGGAAAAAAAAACGCTCAGATGTTAGATAAAAGATACCGATTTTCTATAAAATGTATTCTATTTAGTGTACATTTAACGATTTTCAAATGATATTTTGAACCAAAATTTATATATTTAACTTTCATTTTTATTCAGCTAAGTAATGTAACTAAATAGAGATTCTTACACTTTTACGAATACGCCGACTATAAATACAGAACATGTCTAATGTTTTCTCTCAGTGATAACAAAATACCCGGAGTTTAGATGAAAAAAGGGTACGATTTTGTGTCCAGCAACTCGGATGTTAAATATAACTTAAACATATCTTGTATACATATAAGTAGTTTAAGACCCACATACATGTCGCAAGTATAGACACGTTATTCTAAATATATTTACTCTAAACATTGCTATAAGATCTCTTTACGTTTTCCTAGAGCGTGGACTGATCTTTGCCAGGATTTCAGCAGCGTAGGGCGGCATAAACTCATCATTCAATCTCGCGTCCATAGCCATGTTCTCAATTAAGTTCTTGTACATCTCCTGTACTAGTTGCTGAGACTTGTTCCCGCTCATGATGAATGATGCTGATGGAACTACAAGCATATATATATTGTATATATATATACATATATATATATATATATATATATATATATATATATATATATATATATATATATATATATGTATATATATATATATATATATATATATATATATATATATATATATATATATATATACATATGCATATATATATATATATATATATGTATACATATATATATATATATATATATATATATATATATATATATATATATATATACATATGCATATATATATATATATATATATGTATACATATATATATATATATATATATATATATATATATATATATATATATATATATATATTGTATGCATATTTACATATATATATATGTAAATACATATATTCAAACCAGTTCTGAATGTACAATCAACACTTTAATCATATAGTAGGACGTGATTCAATGGTTTCAGCTGTATGATACGAATAAAACCAAGTCTACTTAAAGTCTATTAATTAAAGCAGGTACACATATCAGAAGTCTATAGCTTACTATGTGGACTTTTAGCCTGAGTTGTCATAGATCTGCTTTGGTTTTCCTTTGTGGAGTTTTGCTTTCAAAGAACTGCGTCCCTTTCTTGGTTTTCCTTACAGTAAACTAACACCCGCGTTCACTATTTGAAATAGCTATTTGGTATAACTAAGCTTTATATACACTCGTACTTATGTTAAAAGCTATGTACCACAGTACACATTTGTGTGACACCAATACGTTGGTGACTAAAAGTACAAAGAGATGCGCTCACTGAAGCGATTATCTTAATCCCATTCGTACATTAATGTCTGTTAGACAGGGATTAATCATATTGGTTTGGAGATTATATTTGCCTTTGTAAACTTCTACATAAAATATATTTTTTTCTAGCCGGCTAATTAAAAGTGCTGATGTAGTTAAAAGTACTTGCAACACATGTCTTGTTTACTCGACTACTGTCGTGGTGGAGTATGTTTAGTGTAAATAAACGGAAATGTAGGTGAATCGTTAAATTTAACTTAACAAAATTCAAGATAATTTTTGTGATAACGAATTGAAAAAACATAATTTTTTGTTGGTAGATACATTTATTTTAGCAGCACAAAATTTAAGATAATTATCTTGAAGAAGTATGTATAAAGCAACATTATTTTTAAATGTTATTAATTTTAATTTTACAAACTTTAAGATGTTTTTTTTGTTAATGATCTATAAAATTATTTTTTGTTGTTACTTTGTATGCCATCAATCTTTTTTTATCCCTCTAATGCCGGTCATAATGGATCGTTTTGCTATAATTGCTTCTTTTAATATAACCGATAGGTATTTTTAAATTTTAAAATTTCAAGACAATAGACAATACAGTTTTTTACGCAGCGAATAACCGTTTTTATGTCTATTTAAATGTAGAGACGAGTCTATACATTAACTTTTTTTTTCAGAAAGTGTCTCACACTTTTCTTAAAAATTATAAAAACTGGCTAATTAGAATTTAATGAAAATCACTATACATACCTATTTTCAGCGCACAGTCCGATATTAAAATTGTATTACATAACTAGAACGAATTTATTAATTGTTTATATGTACCATGCCTTTTTTAGAAAATTAGCTCATAGCTTAATGAAAAGTGTTGTGTAAATGTAGCCTGTAAGGCTATTTTTTAGTCACCAAAGGTATATAAATAATAGCTTTTTCAGTCTTTCTGTAATAGTTATTACTTTTTTTTACAACAATACGTTTTTTTCACGGTGCTCCCTAACAACGTCTACATAGTGACAATTTTCATTTAAATAAAATTGGTAGTAGTATAAAAATAAAATGTCACCGTAATGCACAGATTTCGGTGGATTACCAACAAGTGGAACTTTTAACAAGATAAAAGATAAGTAATTACCTTCCTAAATTTTTTTTTACAGTTTGGGTTTATACCCGTGCTACATATTTTGTAACAGCGGTTTTTCTGCCTTATTGATTCTATCGTTACACCCTGTTACTTTAGTTTTTTTTTTAACTTTTCTCAACACAACACACAAACACACAACCATGGATGTAGAATTAGAATATTGTAAACAGGGTGTGGCACTGAACAAAAAGGGCGAGGGGCTAGACGCATGGGTGGATGGTAGGTTAGAACAACGGCTAGAAAGAGAGGCTAGAGCATGGGTAGATGGTAGGTTAGAACAACGGCTAGAAAGAGAGGCTAGAGTAATAGCAAAACCTGGACAGCAAAGAAGTAGAAGCAGAAGCAACCAAGATTAAAATAAGGGCAGAAAAAGCAACAGAACTAGAAAAACTGAGACATCAGCATGAATCAACAACAAACAACACTACAACAAGATAATATTATCTGTTTATTCCAAACTTGTCAATGCTATGTTACTGCTATGTCTTTACTATTCAATTTATTTTGTTTAAATGGTGTTGTTATGTTAAAAAAAAAAAAAAAACACCCAATGTGTAAAAAGAGGTCTCCGTGCCTATTATTGTTACCGTTTTTTTTAAATTGAATATTTTGGACATGTGTCTATAATTTACGCCAAGTCTGTTAGTTTCCTCGTTATTTGTAGAAAGAAAAAAATCTATTGTTTTGCTACTACACAAGTGACATAAAAAATTAGAATAAACCTCAAAACACGTCGTAACAATAGTGCTTTTATAAATATTTAATCTCTACTTTGAATAATTCAACGGATTAATGCCATTGTACTTTTGCTACCAGTACAAGCTGTCTGCTCTTTGATGTTTCATTGTGGACAGTTATCAAAAAATTCATTAACAGAGTAAAATAAGCAGGAATTTATGATAGGATGGTAACGGATCATTTTCGTTCTTTCTCTCTCTGTCTCCCTGTCTGTTTATATAGGGCTAGGGCTAGGGCTAGGGCTAGGGCTAGGGCTAGGGCTAGGGCTAGGGCTAGGGCTAGGGCTAGGGCTAGGGCTAGGGCTAGGGCTAGGGCTAGGGCTAGGGCTAGGGCTAGGGCTAGGGCTAGGGCTAGGGCTAGGGCTAGGGCTAGGGCTAGGGCTAGGGCTAGGGCTAGGGCTGGATTTAGATCCGGATTTTATAAATCTACGTATCAAGACGTACGCTATGAAATGTATACATCTTCTAGGTCAAACTTTTACACATTACTTTAATAAAATACATAAAAAAAAACTTTTTAAAAAACCACGTTTTTCTTGTGGACTAAAAAGTAGAAAATAACTATCTACATACATTTGATGACAAAAAAACGTGGGTACGTTCACCATCAAATTTCCCGACCCATCTGCCCGACCCACGTTTTTTGTCATCAAATGTATGTAAATAGTTATTTTCTACTTTTTAGTCCACAAGAAAAACGTGGTTTTTTAAAAAGTTTTTTTTTATGTATTTTATTTTCTCCTTTTTAGTCCGTTGCTACACATGAAAAACGTGGTTTTTAAAAAGTTTTTTATATAGTTTATTTTCTACTTTATCTAATCACTTGATTAAGTATGACTTGACTAAGTGTTTTTAAATACACGGACTAAAAAAATCTTGAGCGACCGATACGCTTTAAACAGAGAAAGGGTGTAATTTACGTTGCTGGCGTGGAGATCTACTCACGAATCACGTGATCAAATCTCCCATAAACAAACAAATAAACGCGAAGCTGAGTTAAGGAAAAACGTGTTTATGTGTATTTTAGCATGCCCAGCGTACCAACCGTGTCACCGTTAACAATGTGTTACCGTGTCCGTTCTCCTTTTTAGTCCGTTGCTACACATAAAAAACGTGGTTTTTTAAAAAGTTTTTTTTAAGTATTTTATTTTCTCCTTTTTAGTCCGTTGCTACACATGAAAAACGTGGTTTGTAAAAAAGTGTTTATAAATACACGGACTAAAAAAATCTTGAGCGACCAGGATTCGAACCTGGGTTGTCGCGGCCACAACGCGAAGTACTAACCACTATACGATCACGGCCAGCGCGCTCACATCGATTGGGGCCGAAGTAACTGTGTCAATAGGCCTCAAGTCTTGTCGGTATCTTTAGAAATCATGTCCTCAATTTTATGGTCCTTGGGGCGTAATTAAATTAAGCTAATTACGGTCACTAATTGCTAGTTTTTATGATTGCATCTGAAATTGTTAGGCGAAAGTAGCATGCATGCCCAATTTCAGGTCTCTAGAGCAATCAGAAGTGGGCTAATTTTCTATGTCAATTTTAACAACAAACAAACAAACGCGAAGCTGAGTTAAGAAAAACGTGTTAAAAACAACCTAATCACCATTGAATAGCCGGGTTTTAAACGGAAACATTTTAGTCTCTTAATCAGTGTGTACATTTAATATGACGTTCTGTTGACTAATAATGTAGGCCTATATAATTTGTAAATTAATATATATATTTTAATATGTCGGCTTTTTAGGTATATTAAGTTAGTAAAGCACATTGCGTTTTTACAAATAACTATTTTTAAAAATATATTTCTCAAACATGTATAACGTTAAAGTATATAGGTCTATAATTCACAAGCAAAGGGTACCGAAGGCTAGTTAAACATAATGCAAATTAATTACCAATATTATTTAAGTGTCTGTTAATATAAATCGCAATTTAAAGTATGTTGTGTCAAACACATGTAAGAGAGATAATCCTGTTTTTATTGGTTCAGCAATCGTTTTTTTTTTAATTTTAGTTAAAAGAATAAAACAACAAGACTATATCCAAGGGAAATAAACATGATCTAATTTCAATTCAGAGTTTAGGTAAAGTTGTTTATAATTACCTACATGAATTTAATTCCAATATATTATCATTATTAATTTTAATTAATATTTATTAGGAAATATCTAAACTAAACAAATTGCATAACAAATTTGGTCGACGTAAAGGAGAATTCAGATTAAGGTAGTTAAAGTAATTGTTTTATTTAAAACCAGTGATAGTGTAACAAGATTATACGTATTAAGGGACATAAGCCAAGGTATACTGTATAGTAGGTAAAATCATGTTTGACTGT